TTCAGTCTGCGTCCTGGATTCTATGCCCTCATTTGAGGACTGTTGTCTCCTGTCCAGCTTCTATTGGGGCCGGGTGCCTGGATGGTGGCATTGGACCTCCAGGTCAATTCTTGTCACGTTCTTTTCCAGTTTTCCGGGACTGGCACAGTTATTGGTGGGGCTTCAGGCTTGCCGCCTTTGTTGCCTTCCCTAGTTTGTAATTGGCACTTGGTGTATTTACGCATCTTTACCGGATCTTGGTGCCCTGTCTGAGTCTGCTTGGGATTCGGTGTCTGGCCTACCTAGACGACTGGCCGGTGTGGGCTCCCAGTCGGTCCGCTTGTCTGCTCGCCAGGTGTGTGGTTCTTCCCAGGTCACCGGGTTTGGTTTCCTGGTGATCTGGAGGCCGTTCCATCTGTTTCCTTCCCGGGTTTGGATCTGGCTGGGTCTTGTTTAGAGCTCTTGGGCCGCTCCTTGTCCTTCTCTCCAGAAGTGTTGCTGTGGCCGTGGTCCCGCCTTCGGCTGTTCATGAGGGGGGTCTCGGGTTGCTCGGCGGTTGCTTGAGCAGTTGTGCGGGAGTCTGAACTTCGTCATGCTGGTCTGCCCGCAGGGTCGGATTTGGCTTCGGCGTCTGTTTGGTTCCTTCGGAGACTCCCCTTCTGCCCCTCTTGCAATCATTGGGTTCGTTCCTCCAGGGATCTTGTGTTGGTGCTGCGTCACCAGCTTCCTCTTTGGGGTTTTCGGGATTCCGTGCCTTGGCACCTCCCCGAGCCTTCGCTCGATGTGTTCACGGATGGGTCATCTCTCAGCTGGGGCTTTGTGACCAGTGCTCACCAGGTCGGCCAGGGATGGTGTGGTCTGTCCGTCCGTTGGGCTCACAGCACGGTTCGGGAGTTCGTGGCTGTCTGGTTTGCGCTTCGGAGGGTTCGGGTCTCTCAGTGCTCTACCATTCAGCTCCATTCGGACTGTTCTCTGGCGATTCTTTGTTGGAACCACAGGGTTTCTCTTAGGTGTTTGCCTTTGGGGTTGGTCCCTTTGAGTGGCTCATTTGCTGGATTCTCGGTGTTTGGCTAATTGTGAGGTTCATGTCCGGGGTGTGTCTTATGTCTTGGCTGACATCCTGTCTCGGTCTATGGACTCCTGGCCATGGACGTCTTCGAGTCGGCGTGGTCTAGGCGTCGCCCATTCTATGCGGCGTCCTTACCCGCCTGCAAGGCGCTCACGGTGGATGCCTTTCAGCAGGACTGGTCAAAGTGGGGGTACCTGTTCCTCTTCTCCCGGTCCAGCTGTTGCTTCGGGTTCTGGCCCGGTTAGAGCCCATTCCCAAGAGAGTAGTCCTCATGGTCCCTTGGTGGCCGGCCCAGCTTTTTTTTTTTTTAGACGATGCTTGATAAGTGTCCGAACCGAGTGGCGTTTTTCCGCGGCTCCGCCTCTTTCGGCAAGTCGGTCTGGTCCTGTACGTGACTGGTTTGGCCTTCTCCTTGGCTCTTCGCGTCTGGTATTTTGACGTGGGTATCACCATCTCTGTGGTGATAAGGTGGGTTTGTTGGTGTCCCATCTGCGAGCTTCGTCTCGGCGACAGTATGATTGTTCCTGGTGTTTCTATGCCCCTTTTTCTTGCTCTATGTAGGTCGTCTTCTCTTTCACATCGGGTTGTCTTGTCCTTTCTTAGGTTTTCAGGACTACAGTTATTTGATGTTTCTTACTGTCGCCTCATTTTGTGTGGCGCTGGCGGAGCCACTCCGGCTTGCGTTTTGGGGTGGACGTTACATCTGCCCCGTCTGTACACTTTCTCGTGTTTTGTTTCACCTCCGGCCTGCTCATGCGTCGCCTGAGCTGTCCTGGTCCAAGATCAGGGTGCTCTCCTATCATGTCCTCAGTTTGTGGTAGCCCCTTCGGTTCAATTGTGTGCTCTTTGGTACTGGTGGTAGGTTTGTATGTTTGCAGCCTTTCTCCGTCCTTCAGGCGACGGTTGAGACGGCTGCTTACCGGGCGGGTCCTTGGGTTATTGATGCTCGATTTCCACTCAACACAGGACGCCAGGGGTGTGTCCTGTGTTGTCCGGTTGTGCTTTTTTGCCGTTACCTGTGTACTGTAACTGGGGATGTGCTTTGGGTTGATTCGGTTCCCCTTGTTCCCTGTTTCATGACTCGGGCCTCCCAGGTCGTCCGCAGAGTTTTTAGGTCTTCCAGCCTGCGGTCTATCCTTGCACCCGTGCTGTTCGGACGTTTGCAGCTATCGCTGCTGTGTTGGCTGCGTCTAGGGCTCATTTCGGGCGCGAGGATTTGAGGGTCGCACAGGTTCATGGCCGTCTGTTCTTTATGTGCGCATCTGCTCCTGTGCGTTCTTGTTGCCTTCGGTCGCAGGCTGCAGCCTGTTCTCTTGGCTTCGGGTTGCGGAGTTTGTGGCGGCCGCCTCCTGGGTCAGCCCTTTCTTTTCCTTCTCTTTGGGTATGAAGCTCCAGGGAGCCGTAGGGGCTCCCCACAGAAAACCAGCGTTGAATGTAATGAAACGCCATTTTCTGGATGAGCCCCGTAGGCTCTCTGGCAACCCTCCTCCCACTGGTCGGCGTTTTTTTTCGCGTTGGTTAAAGCTTAGCTTCCGAACTGATGCTAGGCAGCCGGCGCAGTGAGGTCCGGGGCTCCTCCCCTTCCCCTCTCGGGGCGGGGAGGGCTGCACGGATGATCAGCGAGGCAGTAAAGTGTGATGTTTCCTTGTTTGCTTGTTTCCTTGGGATTGTAGGGAGTTTCTACCTCTGTTTGGTTTTATGGTTTAGTTTTTTACCATGTGGGGTTTGTTTTGTTATGCCTACTGTTACCTAGCAGTAAATAGGTACCTGGGTGTTAGTCAGCTGTCACGGGCTGCTTCCTGGGGGTGGAGGCCTGGTCGAGGACCGGGCCACGGGGACACTAAAGCCCCGAAATCATCTCAAGATAATCTCAAGATAACCTTTCTGGGTGCCTAACCCCGGTCGATGGCAGATAAGGAAAACCCCAATCACAAGGGGGTTTTCCAGGGCCATTGCTCCCTGAAACCTCTCTGAAGGGGCCAGGTTCTGGTCCCTGGTAGGTCTGAACTCCGTAGCTAATGTCCCGGTCTAATATAACATACATTAGCCCGATAAGCTCCAGGGAGCCTCCGGGGCTCACCCAGAAAATGGCGTTTCATTACATTCAACGCTGGTTTTTTGCTGTAATATTATTCAATAGTGTGTAGTGTGAAATATTTATATAATAAAATGAGTGAATCATCGCTGTACTCAAAAATATGGTGTGTATATTGTTGATTCAATTATGATGTTCATCAATCAGTGAACAAATATTTTGTTGCTTATTTCACTCTATACACAGGTTATATAAAAGTATCTGCATGTTTTGTTCACGATAACGAACCACTAAGTTGGTATTATGAGTCAAAAAGCAACGAGGAGTGACCGCCACACACCAGCCAGCCACTCGGTGCCACTTACTCCCTAAACACCTCACTCGCCCACATTCTCCTCCCACCATACTGTTTTTGCTTTTATTCACTATATACAGATGTTATATATAAGTATCTACATTCGTGTTCACCATAACGAACCACTAAGTTGGCATGCTGAGTGGCAGTGGCAGTGGCAGCCCGCCACTGGCTGCTACTTCCTCCCTCCTTCAACTCACTTGACTCACCCACATTCTCCTCCCACAATACTGTTTTTGTTTTTATTCACTATATACAGATGTTATATATAAGTATCTATATTTTTTGTTCACCACAACTGTACAACTAAGTTGATATGGGTAGTTCAGGCACTAAGAGATGTCGCTACACACAGTCAGCAGGCGGCTGCTTCCCTCACACATCCAAGGTCAGACGCACTAAAATTTCACCCCCAACAATACTGTTTGTGGTGTTATTACCCTATATACAGACGTTATATATTAGGATCTACATGTTTTGCTCACCATAACTGTTCTACTAAGCCGGTATAATGCCCAAAGAGCATAGTGGCCACCTCTATCAACATGACAAATCGTGCAGATGTTGCCACACCCATCACCAAAATGGCTTCTCCCCCCCACACTCCTTTTGCTGTTATTACACTGTATATACACGTTATATAAGTATCTACATTCGTGTTTAACATAACGAACCACTAAGTTGGTATGCTGAGTGGCAGTAGCAGCCAGTGGCAGCCCACCACTGGCTGCCACTCCCTCACCTCACCTGACTCACCACCATTCTCCTCCCACCATACTGTTTTTGCTTTTATATACAGACGTTATATATAGGTATCTGCATGTTTTGTTTACCATAGCGAACAACTAAGCTGGTATAGTGAGTCCAGACAGTAAAAGGTGGTCACACAGAGTCAGCAGACAATGCTAGCTCACTCCCCACCAAGATTACTCCTCCCACTACAGTGCTAATTATCACAACATTCCTGCTATTATCAAAATCCTGGTCTTTTTTATCAGTCAGGGGTCTTCTGTAATAATAGCATGAACATATATATTATGGCATTTTTAGGCGATGCTGTGGTCACAAGCTGAACAGTAGTGCTGTGAGTTCATGCTGAGTCTGTCAGGCTTAGTGGCTCACTCAATACCGAGGCCCTCACACCCGGAAATTTGGCCCATGATTTTTTTTTTAAATGGCGTCTGTTTACAAGAGCCCTGATGAAGGTGAGGTGAACCCCATGTATCTGTGGGCCATTTAAATCTTGCGTAGTACTCCAATACATCATATGATGGGATGTGCATTTTATAGCAAGTTACTCAACCCATCATATGATGTGTTGCACAACTTAAAGGTTAAAAGGCAGTATAGTCTAGTAACTTATTAAAATGGCACTGTGCTTATGATACAATTAAAATAGTAATTAAAATAATATAGGAATTAGTGAGTTGGTAGTACACTATTGGTCATATGTTGACTAGTAATTATTAGCAGCATTTCATTCACCGGCATCAGTGTTTATAAATGCACCATTACATTGCAGTTTTATGTCGGTTATTTCTATGAACATAATTTCTTTTCAGATTTTTGCTAGACCTCTCCAAAATCAATGAATTTGCAGAGCGGACTGCGTGTTTCATGTTCCAAGCAACATTTCCTGAAGAGTTGGGTGTAATCCATGGCCGAATTAATATGTTACAAAACACAATAGAGGCGAGTCTTCAAGTTTCATTTGTTTATTGATTTAAGACTTTCATTTTCTTTAAGGATACAGTTCTAATTTTTTTACTTTACTAGTGCTGTACTGTGCTGTTAATTTTATACAGAAAAGCCTTTTAATGAATGTGCCAATTAACCATTTTCTGTCCTGGGGATATACACCATTCATCATCATTTCATGATCTTAATACCAGTGCCATTATACTATGGCACTGGTATTAATACTATGCCATAGATTTATTTCAAAATTATTTTCAACATTAACATGTTAGTAAATTTTTTATGGCAATATAGTGTGTTACAGCAGCTTTGTTCACTTCAAGTTCCATGAACATTTCTGTATCTCTACTTTAGCTGCACCTTATCTCCTACGATCAAAAAACATATCAGAAAGTGAAGAAACGACGACATTTCGGTCCGTCCCGCACCATTATCAAGTCGTGTAACATGAGTTGATAATGGTTCAGGATAGACTGAAACAATGTCGTTTCTTGTGTAGGCGATGAGTCACAATAACGTGTCTAAAGTATGTTGACCAGAGCGCACACTAGAAGGTGAAGGGACGACGACGTTTCGGTCTGTCCTGGACCATTCTCAAGTCGATTGTTTCTTCACTTTCTGACATGTGGTTTAGTCAGCATATCTTCAGTCATGTTATTGTGACTTGTCATCTGCTTATCACGTTTTATAGCTTCTACTCTTCCATCATCTGAACCAGGCCTTCGCTCTGTGTAAGTCTTCACTTTCTGGAATCTCGTGTTGAATTCTTCACCCTTCTTACTAATGTCTTAGCCTAATAATATAGCGAGTTTACATAATATATGGATTGAGTTAAAAGGTAGATCAAGGTATAAATATTACTGTAATTGGTTTTGTCAGGGACAGGAAGCCTGTGTGTATATAAGATAGTCTTGGTTCAAGGTCTTCCCCAGGTTAAACTACTAACCCTCCCTAGGATGTAACCGCACAACAGTTACCTAACTCCTGGGTACCTCTTAATTGCTAGGTGAAGCATTAGGTGAAAGGAAACTTATTCGACCATTTCTGTCCCGCCTGGCAATCAAACCCGAGATCGTCGACTGTGAATAAAAAAATAAGCCAAGTGTAATTATTACATACCCATAAGTATTTGTATGACATAAGATCTGGCCCTTGGGCCTCGATTCCTAGCTATTGCTGCTTGATGCACTGCATATTAATTTGGTTCCAAAGTGTGCGTGTGCTAAATGAAGTTTTCTGAGAACTGGGCACAATACAAATTTCAGAGAATAACACCCAGTGTTTAGGGGTATCTTAATGAAGTGGGAAAAAATGCTTAAGGAGCTAAGAAGGAACAAAGCAGTTGTCCCAGATGGAGCTTCACCTTGGGTGAAGGGAGCCGGTCGGCCGAACGGACAGCACGCTGGACTTGTGATCCTGTGGTCCTGGGTTCGATCCCTGGCGCCGGCGAGAAACAATGGGCAGAGTTGCTTTCACCCTATGCCCCTGTTACCTAGCAGTAAAATAGGTACCTGGGTGTTAGTCAGCTGTCACAGGCTGCTTCCTGGGGATGGAGGCCTGGTCGAGGACCGGGCCGCGGGGACACTAAAGCCCCGAAATCATCTCAAGATAACCTGACCTGTACTTGGGTTCTGAGGGAATGTGCACTTTAGTTCACCACTACACTCCAATTCCTTTTTCATTCATCTTTGTGTACTGGAGTCTTGGCAGATATATGAAAAAAGGATAACAAGTTCCAATCTACAAAAATGGCAGCAATGAAAACCTTCTTAAGAAAGTGTTAGTTAATTATAGACCTATATTGTTGTCATAGAAGTCAAAACGTTAGATAAAATAATTAAAACCAAATAGGCAGACACATAATATAGTAAGACAAGGTTATAGTTTTTGTGACAGAGCCACAGAGATTTACAGGAAAGAGATGGTTGGGTTAACTACATATATCTGGACATAAAGGCTTTTGACAGTCCCACATAAGAGGTTGTTCTGTGTCCTAGAACATTGGATGAGTGACCTACCTTGTGATGGTTTTGGGGCTTAGCCTGGGTCCTGGGTTCGATCCCAGGCGCCGGCGAGAAACAACGGGCAGAGTTTCTTTCACCCTATGCCCCTGTTACCTAGCAGTAAAAATAGGTACCTGGGTGTTAGTCAGCTGTCACGGGCTGCTTCCTGGGGGTGGAGGCCTGGTCGAGGACCGGGCCGCGGGGACACTAAAAAGCCCCGAAATCATCTCAAAAAAAAAAAATAACCTCCCTGCAGCCCGGTGATCGCCCAGGCCTCCTGACAAGGAGACTTTTGACATAGACGAAACATTTTCTGACAGAGAAATGAGGGAAGTAATCAGAGGCAATGTATCAACGTGGAGAAATATTACTAGAGTACCACCACAGGGGTTCAGCTCTAGCACTAGTAATGTATATTGTTTATATGAATTCTGTGCCAGAAGTAATGCAGAATTATATGAACAGGTGTGATGATAATGCTAAGCTACTAGTGGAAGTTAAGAAACTTAAATTATTGTCATGCCCTTCAAGAAGACCTGGGCAAAAAAGTGAATAGAACAATATTTGGCAAATGCAATTTAATGTGATTAAATGCCATGTTATGGAATGTGAAATGGGAAAAAATAGGCCACACACAACTTAGAAATTAAAGGGGTACCTCGGTTTAAGAGTTTAATCTGTTCCTGGAGACGGTTCGTAACCTGAAAATTCGTAAACCGAAGCAAATTTCCCCATAAGAAATAATGGAAATGAATTAATCCATTCCTGACTCCCCAAAAACTTCACTTCAAACTAAATTTTATACCTAATTCACCCAAATCTACACTACAAAAGTATGTTCAAGTTATTACTTACCCTTGCTGATGACTCCTGTTGGCATATGGAAGATGGTGAGGTGGGGGGGAGGAGGAGGAGAGGTGTCACTGTTTGGAAGGGGAGTCCACTTCCATTATAACATCAGGCAGTGAAGATTTTTCTAGAGTGCACTCTCTGGCATGTTTGCCTGCATCCCACTAGATCCTGGTTGTGGCTCACTGCTTGATTTTCTCACAACGAAACGATCCATTGAAGATTGTTTTTCCCTTCGCAAAAGTTGTCTGTAGTGAGGCATCACATTGTCATTGAAAAGATTAATGCAATGGCCTACTACAGCTTTCTCTGGGTGAGTCATTTCAATAAAAGTTTGCATTTCTTCCCACATCTGACACCACTTCCTAATTGTTGAAGAAGGGACTTTCTCTTCTGCCTCATCCTCCTCTGAAGAAATATCCCCAGTTGCTTCTTGTTGCTGCTCCTTTTCAAGGGCTTGGAGTTCTTTGGTGTTTAGTTCTTCGTTGTGTTCTTCCACCATCTCCTCCATCAGCATCATCCAATTCCAAGCCCATTTTCTGGCCCAGAGTTACAATTTCCTCAACAATAGGCACTTCATTTACAGGCTCAAATCCCTCAGTCTAGTTCTGTCACACATTCAGGCCACATTTTTCTCCAGCCAGAGATCAGGGTTCTTTGAGTCACTTCTTGCCAGGCTTTGTCAACGAGTTTTAAAGCACTACAAATGTTAAAATGGTGTTTCCAGAACTATTTAAGGGTGAGGTTTGTAGCTTCAGTCACTTCAAAACATTTCTGGAAAAGTGCCCTTTCATAAAGCTTCTTAAAATTCGCTATGATTTTCTGGCCAATAGACTGAATTAGAGGAGTGGTGTTAGGAGGAAGGAACTTTATTGCAAGAAAATTATATCTGTTCAACAATGCATCTTCCAAGTCTGGAGGATGAGCAGGAGCATTGTTACATTGTGCAGGAGCACAGGGATGGGGGGAGGGAGGAAGCTCACCACCTACTGGGGCCTGAGCTCCCAGTTCTAGGAAGGATGTAGACATCCACACAATGACCTTGAAGGGAGAGAGGGAGATCAGGGAGCCACTGGAGCTTACCCAGAAATTGGAATTTCATTATATTGAATGATGCTGTACTCGGGAAGCCCCTTAGGGCTACCTGAAGCTTCTACCCATAGAAAAGGATGAAAAAATTGGAACTCGACTGGGAAGAGGGAGCGCTGCAAGAATCAGGACAAGTACAAGACTTCCGACTGAGAGACATGACACAAAGCCACACAAGAGTGGCATGGTCAAGGAACATTCACCAAATATTGGTCCATCAGAATCCTGTTTGACCTCCAAAACCCGTCCCCAAATATCAGCCCCATGACACATTCACAAGCACAGCCAAAAGAGCATCATACTCTCTAATATCATGGGCAGAATGGTAGACTGCAGGCAATCTAGACTTCATAACACTGTGGAAGACCTGAGAAATACAAGCCTTGGAACAGAGGATCAAGGAAACAGCATCAACTCAAAAGACATCCATCACACATCCATCAAGAATCGGTGGCACGATGGTAGTTGCGGAGAGCCGTCACCGGACACAACACACACACACACCCCCAGCCAAACTAACCAAGCATCAGTGATCAAAGGACACCTCCAAAAGCCAACCAATTCATTCATCTCCAGAGAAGGAGCTGGCTGCAAACAACGTAATGCCCACCTGGACCAAAAATAATAAAAACCTCATCTCTAGAGGAGAGCATAAAGCTCCCAACCATACAACTGGAAGCCAGGTTCAACAAAATTAAATTTACAAGAGAGATTCCAAGACCAAAAGTGATCGTGAAACAAGAGGAGGAAAGAAAATCCTACACACAGTCCAAAGGCAAGACAGGCTCAGACATCGCATGAGCAGGCTGGAGGTGAAACGAAACACAAAACAGCTTGTGAAATGGTGCCGAGGTAATATTGATACTGAATGCATGCTGTAGCAGCCCTGCTAGCACTGCACAGTATGAGGCAACAGTATGAGGCATGTGGTGCTGATACAGAAAAAGCCAAGAAAGAAAGAAAGGAGCACCACATGCTCAGAAACCAAAAAGCAATGATTTAGGGAAAGGAAGGGGTGAAAAGAGCATTGCAAAACTTCATATTGCTGGAGAG